CTGTTGAAAAACATGAGTCTATGTAAAGGTTGTTCTTGGGGCGTACATGCGCAAGTTCCTGGAAATATGTGAAATAGGAGAACTTCTGTTATGGTCGGGGATTTTTTTCCTGTTAGATGGAACCATGTGCTATAAACTCTTCAGAAGGCTGGACTTAGTTTTAGAAGAGTCTCTTGACATGGTTACTTGAATGACTTGTTAGTGTTCTAAACCATTCTAACTATCCTCCTTGGATAGCTATTGTAGTGCTAATTTGGACTGGAAATTTTCAGAAAAGGTGTTCAAACTGGGCTTGTAGGTTGCTGAAGCAAAGTCTTTCAAAGGTGGAGTGTTTGTCCTGGAGATTTCACTGAATCTGATCTATAACTAGCGCAATAATTTCCAATTTTACCATGTCAGTAATTAGATGGACTTGTTTTTTCTTAATTCAAATCTCAGGAACTTAAAAGTGAATTTTCAACGTGATAGGACTGAATAATAATTTGTCCTTGATGTAGGTCTGTCATTAAGATTGACATTTTTTTCAAAAGCTGGTACTTCAGTGATTATTTTAAAAAGAATCACTCTACTGAATTATGAGTTTTGCTGCTATAATATTCTTTGTAATGTTTAGGGAATGTGAAGTACATAACTTAGACAACTTTTTGATTTTCTTTTAAGGAGTTTTTTTCTAAACTTAGCATTTTGTTTTTAAAACTCAGTACCTGAATAGAAGTCTATGATTGCACTTTAGAGAGCTATAATTTAAAGGGAAATTGTATATTGAAGGAAAAGGTGCTAAAAAAATTTGAAATGGGAATGGGAAAGTGAGCATTGGAGAATTTATTAATTAATGTATTTAAAACTTAAAGTATATTAAACATATGCCCAAACAGGACTGGATTTTAAATGCCTTTTGATGGGAAATGACTATAGTGTACCAGTAGTTCTGTCGGTCAGTGGGACTATTTGTGTTAATGAAGATGAAAACACATGTCAATATGCTTTTAAGTAGATTTGAATAAATCCCTTAATTATCTTTAACATACATTTTTTCCCCTTTATCAGGCAAAACAGACATGTGTGAGCTTGAATTCTAGTTCTTCATATATTGTGAGTGGAGGCCTTGATAACACAGTTAATATCTGGGATCTGAAATCCAGAAGGGTTTACCGTAGCCTTAAGGTAAGTTTGGCTGAGGAAGAACTGTAGCTTTCATGACTTCCAGGTTTTGCTGCCAACTGTAAAAAATACGCTTTGTCAGGTATCTGTAGGATCAAGTTCACAGATAGGAGCTAGCACACATATGTGTCTTGTTCAAGTTTGTGTTCTTTATGTGCTGTAAATAGCAAATTTATTTTAACAAGCGTACTTAACTTGATGTCTTCAGAGTACAATTCTATAATAATGTACATTTAAATTTTCAGAATAGGCTTCGTATTTTGCGAATTTATATTGATATTCTCTGATGGGATTTTTTTTTTCCAAGGGTAGCATTTCAGATGACTGCTGTTTCTGATACATCAAACAAGAAAATGCTTCTGTATTTGTAGAATACTGTAGTAGAACTAATGTTATGCAAAAGTGGGACACGGTTGTCGTCTTCTAACTGATCCAGTACGAATTCTCTAAAACCTTGTTATGATGCACAAAACTTAAGATGGTCCAGTGTATTTCCATGATGCCTTCAATAGATGATTTGCCCTCGTTTAGGACCGCTGTTAAAGAAGTTATAAAACTTTAGCTTTGATTTATTCTTTTTTTCTTGGACTTTGGAAGTTACAGTTTGAAACAAAACTACTAAGTAGCTAATACAATACTTTAAATACCTTTTTCTCCTTTTTGGGCTAGAAGTACTTGATTGTCTTCCCCTATATATTCAGTAAACACAATATCGTCATTGCAAATGACTATACCGAAAAGCTATTTGATAAATATATGTGTTAATACTGAAAGTGACAGAAGGGGAAGTTGGCAGTAGTACATCAGACTAACAGAAAGTGTATTCAAATATCACTGGTTTCTGGAAGACTTTACTTTTAAAATGTCTACCACAAGTGTCATTAATGTTATCTCTATGGTTGTCTTATTAAAATATTGTATATAATTACAGCATCACCTTTACTAATTTATTAGTCAGACAGTGGTTAAAATATAACGGCTGATCTTCAGTATGTTCTGCTGCTGTTTTCTGGGATCTTCCATAATAACTCTTAAATAATCTTTTATATGTTACAGATGGTCAGAAAAAACCACCAAGCTGAAATTTTTCTGCAAAAGCACAGATTAGGAAGGAATATGGTTATCCTGAATGTCTTTAACCCTCTCCTTCTAACGTCCCTCCCCCACAGGATCATAAAGATGAAGTCACGTGTATTACATATAATTGGAATGATTGCTACATTGCTTCTGGATCTTTGAGTGGTGAAATTATCCTACACAGTGTTACCACCAATTTATCAAGTACTCCCTTTGGTTATGGCAGCCGTCAGGTAGGTTATCTGTATTAAGCTCCTTTCAGGTATGAAGCTTTAATTCACAGTGTTTAGAAATTGAAAGTACATATCAAGAACTTTTAAGTTTTGTTAATCTGTTTGCTTTTAATTTTTAAGACTGCACTTACAGGAAGGATAAAGCAGACCATTGTGTGTATTCTAGTCTTAAATAATAGGTAACATTGAAATACAAATTTCTCAAGTACCTTTACTAACATACAGGTTACAGGAGATTTTACTTTGTAGGCTCTGGTTCCTCAAGAGCAAACTCCACACATCTTAGAACTGAATAAAAACCAGTCAGCTTTACAAACCAAAGCAGGATTTCAATGCACAACTCAATGTGTGGTGTTGCAAAGAACAGAGACCATGTAGCCTGGGTTCTGACTTATCCAAAGTAATCAGATTCACAACTGAACAGAGCTATCTGTACAGTAGGGGTGAATTTGGAAATTCTGCATTTGGAAATACTAAATTTATTTCATCTGGAGATTAAAATTGCACAGCTGCTCAAAGAGAAAAGCAATGAGATTTTATATTACCTACTTAGGTGTTTAGGTAAGATTTTGGATAGCTAGTTTGAAGGAAAACTGTGCAAAAGACAAACAAAAAGCATGTGTACTAAAGGGCCTTAGTAGGATTTTCCACTGCAATTCCTTTTTGCAGATTCAGAAGATATTGGAGGATTAGTGGGTATTATTAGGGGAATTCCCTTGATATAAGTGCATCTGCAGTAGTAAATGAGCTGTGTTGTCCCTTCGGAAGTTCCAGTGTGTGTTCTTGGTGTGAATGTTGTCTTAGGCACAGCTAAGTGTTTGTGCTCTGGGCATTCTTTTATTTTTTTACCGAGTCATTTTTACAGAGGTAGGAGCTGCCTAGGGGATGCAGAACTGTTGCTTTGGTCCTAAACCTGACCTTTAATGTCACAGGGCATACTGAAGTTGTGATTTAGTAATTTTCTGTTACTGTAACAGCTTTTTCAGTCCTAGGTTGCAGATAGAATGTGAAATTAATTTTTTCTCTTGCCTAGCATGAACAATATAACTTGATCAAGAATCTCTTGCAACTTTATAGCATCACGGGAATTGTGGTATACTTTCTGTTGAAAAATCACCATTAAATTCAAACTATCTCTGCTCTTAGGTGCTGTAGTGTCTTTGATTCATCACCAGTCTAATCCTTATATTGAAGCAAAATTGTACGTCATACTTGGTTTGATTTTTAAAAACCACAGAATCGTTTAGGTTGGAAAAGACCTTTAAGATCATCAAGTCCAACTGTTAAGCTAGCATTGCAAGTCCACCACTAAACCATGTCCCTAAGCACCACATCTACACGTCTTTTAAATACCTCCAGGGATGGTGACTCAACCACTTCCCTGGGCAGCCTGGTCCAATGCTTGACAACCTATTTGGTGAAGAAATTTTTCCTAATATCCAGTCTAAACCTCCGCTGGTGCAACTTGAGGCTGTTTCCTCTTGTCCTATTGCCTCTTACTTGGGAGAAGAGACTGACACCCACCTCACTACAGCCTCCTTTCAGGTAGTTGTAGAGAGCAATGAGGTCTCCCCTCAGCCTCCTTTTCTCCAGGCTAAACAACCCCAGTTCCCTCAGCCAGTCCTCATAGGACTTGTTCTCTAGACCCTTCACCAGCTTCATTGACCTTCTTTGGACGCGCTCCAGCACCTCAGTGTCTTTCTTGTAGTGAGGGACCCAAAACTGAACGCCAGTGCTGAGTACAGGGGGACAATCACTTCCCTACTCCTGCTGGCCACACTATTTCTGATCCAAGCCAGGATGCTATTGGCCGCCTTGGCCACCTGGGAACACTACTGGCTCATATTCAGCTGACTGTCGACCAGCACCCCCAGGCCCTTTTCCACCAGGCAGCTTTGCAGCCACTCTTCCCCAAGCCTGTAGTACTGCATGGGGCTGTTGT